CCCCAAAACCCCAAAACCCCAAAACCCCAAAACCCCGTTGTACTGATTTCATAAAAGAGTAGGGCTTAAGTTAATAAGAAAATGAATAAGATTAAAAATAAAGCACCTATTATTCTAGTAAATATTAAAATTAAATAAAATCTAACTATGACAGATCATCACGCCGATTTGGATAATATAGATGATGATGTAGATTAACATCAAAATGATAAATATGATAACAAAAAAAAGAGCTATGATCGTAAAGGAGAACGCTACTTCCAAGTTGATGATGGTTATGATAAGAGAGTATATGAGAATGACTGGACAAACGTCTTTGTCATAATTGGAGTCTTCATAATTTACTTTGGTTTGAACATTCTCTATTGGTGGGGTATGGTTGCCTTTGGTACTGCTTATCCAGATGAAGCTCAATGGTACAGTATAGCAGTTTTCATATTCTCCCTTATTTGGATCGGAGGAATGCTAATTTCAGGTCACAAGGCTAATAAGAAGCTACACAGATGGGAATTCTATTTGGAAAAGATCAATGATAAGGAGTAGGAGAATAGAGAGTACGAGTAAAGAGAGGCATAAAAGAGAGAGCAGGAGTTGAAACTTGCCTAATCAAAGGGCCAAGCCTCAACAAGAGCTATGTAAAAGGAGGAAGAACATAAAGCCAACTAATTGACTGATAGAGACCACGAGAGCGACCAACAACTTGAAGGTTCACAACTGCTCATGCAAGAATGAAAGGCTATTCTAGTTTAATAAAAGCAGTCCACTTTCCAAGGATGTTTATACAAATCTATGTTTTCTTTAAGATTATCGCATTTTCCATACCATTTTAAATATCAAATGTATCCTTCTTATTTACTAATTTCTACTCTGATTGCTGTTTTATTTTAAATGGCTCTTAAGTAATCATTATGATCATCTATAATGTTAAATTAATTTGGTCGCACTCTAATTTATGTTTTATTATCTATTCGCCCAATCACACAGATATTTGGACTTCCGGGGTTTTGGGGTTTTGGGGTTTTGGGGTTTTGGGG